CCACGTAGGCAATGACATGGAAGGACACGTGTGCCAGATACTGTACCGTTATCTTGGAAGTAAACTGGCCACGTGGATGCCTTTCCATCTTCGACTTGGCAAGTTACCATTGGCGAGAGGGTCGCCCCCTCTGGAATCTTGGACAAGTCCACTACAAAAGATGGGACACACGGAAAAACAAGCTTCTAATACACAATATCTATCACACGAAATTCAAATAAAAGTAATAAAAAACAAGTCTACATTAATAGTATAGACTCTTAATTAAATGGTTAGAAGCAATGACATGTTCCGTAGGACTTTTAAACAGTTTAACTTGGTCATAACCCACCCCTTAGCGGTTCCCACTTGGACTGGTCCTGGATCTTGAGAGGTCAGATATCACTACCGGCAACAGAGCGTACCGCCTGTGAAGTCCAGACGGCGTCTGTACCGAGGACAGCTAGCACAGTCACCACATCCTCTCCCGCTACCCCGACACAACATGGCGCGTTTCTTCACCTTCTGTGTCCTTCTCTCCTTCATGGTCTGTCTGACGGTTTCCAAGTCGGCTAAGAAGAACCAAGACCCAGAGTTCCAGGAGTACAAGAAGGTGAATAAGAAGGAGAAGTGGAGTCACTTCGAGGAGGGTCTTCATGCCGAAGCCTTCGACCTCATCGCTAATGGAGAGACTATGACGTTTGAGAGAAAGTTGGTGAGTCTGAACTACAGTAGTTATCGTCACATTGTCTATGATATGACTAACTTTGTGTTGTATGGGATATGTTTGGCTATCATTATCGTGATTTGAAAAGAACTACACAGATAAACAGTCTTTGAAAATCTGTCGATTTTGCATATATGCATATGTCTTCATCTACATTTTCTTAGCTATAGTTCTTTCTTTGTTTAAGTTTCAACTCCACGTTTTATATATCGCAATCCTATATTCTTCTGTACATCTCTTCTCTGAGAAAGGAAGCAATTAATATTGTATAAAACATGTTTATGTGGCACTATGCTAGGGGATTCTGGATTCTTCCAGCCGGCTTTTCACCCCTGAAACGTCTGGAAGTTATTTGTTGACATTTGCATCCCGCGTCCCATTGGTTGGACTGCGGAATCCGAGTCCGTTTTACAAGGACTGGGGGAAGTCAGTCGACGTGGCAGTCCCCTGGCGTGTCGGGGACGGACCATGTAATATGGGTAGACGGGGTTCGAGGCTACTAGAAATAGAAATTCAACTACTATTAACTTTTTAAAAGCTCTTTTCATCACTGTATTTCACTCATTATACATTGCTGAGAATAACAAAGACATGGCGACAATGACACGAATGCAGAAATTCTAGGGACGGACCGTTACATCTTTAACTTGTAGCAAAATATATGAATATCTAAGTCTAAGAGGCAGGATGTTGTGTTCTACAGTGACTCCCATGCGAAAACAAATAAACAAACAAATCAATAAACGAATGAACGAACAAGCGAAGAATGAAAGAACAACTATAGCACAAAATCCGAGCCTTGTTGCATGACGTTATTTTGAGATTTGCCAGTCCCCCGCGACACTATTCATGAACCTCCCCTAATCCCCGGTGCCATCCCGGTGTGCAGTTGACACTTGGGCGATTATGTACTGTTTTCTTTTCTACAGTGGCAGATTTGCATGTGGGGAAAAGTTCCTGTGCATGACAATCGTCGCAGAAGAAAATTACTTTACATCTCTGCGGGAAGCGTGTTGACGAAACAAAGCCGCTTGTGTACTTTGAAATGATTACTTGTTGTGTCACCTTGCTTGGGTTATTACAACAGGATGCTAGTATTTGATTGAAAACACGTTTGACCTACATTTTAGCAAGTTTCTTCAACTCCCATCCTCCTTCGCAGGGCTAAAATCCTCCGGTTCGGTTCCTTCGGGCTCCTTCGCAGGGCTAAAATCCTCCGGTTCGGTTCCTTCGGGGTAAACCCGAAGGAACCGAACCGGAGGATTTTAGCCCTGCGAAGGAGGATGTCAACTCCTAACTTGTTCATTTCTCGTAAACTGTTTTGAAAACAGTAAGTCCGAACGCCCCTGGAATAAGAAAAATGTTGTGCCAAGCCAAGGTCTGAGACATTTGTCTCGTTTTTGTGAAGATTTGGTTTCTTATCACGACTCCATCAGACTCTAGATAAACGTAACCCCCTGTAAAGCTCTGTGATATTGCCAAAACGCAAATTATGCAATAGTAATATGCAATACACCATCCACAAGGCCTGTTGTGAAGACGTTCATAAAGCTAACATAATTTACAGCAGCTATTTATATCGGAGTTTCGGGACCATATCTTTCAGTAGCTTTGCAGTTTGGCAAACATCTCCAAAGAAAATATGTACGTCTTTCCGCCTGTCTGAATACAAGGTCAAGAGCCACAGCCGGTGTTCCTGCATCAGACGTGTGCAAAATTTATTCATAGACCACATGCCTTATTATCAACGCCTTTTGCAACATATGCATGACGAGCATACTAGTAAACTATGCCGTCGGTATGTCTCTGATGTCTCTGACGTATTTGCGCTTGACACGCAACCAAGACCAACACTAACCAGTTTTATATTCCATGACTATGACTGATTTGTCGATCGCAGATTCATTGATCACCTATCAATTTCCATCATTCATCTGTAGATTTTTATTGATAAAAAATAGATGGTAGGGTATTGTTTTAGAATACAGCTAAAAGTAGCTGTCTTTTGTTGTGCGTTTGCATGTGCGCGTAGTCTAGTCCGTTTCCGCCAACGGGATATTGGACAGGTAGACGGGTCGACAGATACGGAAGTGGCCGTGCAAATAGAAAGTCGCAGTCCGAAGTTTCCGTATGTTTCGAGCGACGAGGGATCGTGTCAAGCCAAGGGAGAGGGGCACTGTAAGTAATCCATGGCCTCTCGCGTTTTGATATGGCGATAATTCAGTCGGCTGTCCTGACATCCAGACGTCCCCCAGGTTGGTACAGTTCTTCCGATCATCTGCTTTCCTTCAGCGGCTTTGCGTTTCGTGTGTTTAGACTTGAAGAGAGGAAATGAAAAGAAACATAGAACACCAGTCCTATGTCGTATCAAGGAGCTTTAAATATTAGTAGTTCTAACCACATTAATCATGAACAAATGCAACAACAACATGGCATCCAAAGTAACAGCAAATTTTACGATCTGTGTACCTACGGTGTTAGATCGGTGATGATTGAGCTGCGATCGAAGAAATTGGTTTGACCTTGGCTAACATTTGTACTGGTTTTACTTGCTTGACAGTCTGATTTCTCCTACCGCCCCTGACATTGCACCCTTGACCTTTGATTCTGAATGCTTGTTTTCCAGGACGACAAGTTCGGGTGTGTCCTGACGTACGCTGCCAGACCGGGCGGGGTGCCGTCTGAGGTGAGTGACGTCAGAATGATTGACAGCTAATTGTCATAGCAGAAATATCACCAATTTTAGCGGTGTGTTTCTAGAATGTATTTCAAGGAAAAAACTTTTTTAACTCACATGTACACGAATGCAAATCAAGCTTGTTGTATTTCCGTTAGTTTGACAGTGGTTACAAATGAACGCAACGGAAAAAGACAGCCTACTCGGAAATAAAAATAACCTACGGACAGGTAAATCCGTTAGTGACTGATGAACATAATTTCCCACCAGGAATGGAGACTGACCATGACGATGAGCCCGGATGGAAGTGCATATTCCTGCCAACTCAGGGTAGAAAGGTATCGTCTTCTTCTTTTGAATTGTCTTGGCTTTTTTTACAACATTCAATTCGTATGTTATGTAACCAGTGAGGTCGTACGATTAGCTATCCTCACACAATTTTATTTTTCCACAGGCAAGAGCAGAGGTCTGATCTGATGCTTGAGCACTTCCAGCTGAAGGTGAAGGGACGCCAGGTGTTTGGATACAGCGACATTTATGTGAGTAGATGACTTGTCTTGGATGTTGATATTTCGTTTGATTGTCTTCACAATCATTTTACAGTAAACTAAGGAATGGATTTCCGGCCTTTAGTAAAGATGTATGCACGAGTTACTAGTATTCAGTTATTGATACGTGACTTCCTTTCCCCTCACAGAAGGGCGAGGAGGTGAAACTGGACACGTCTGAGTTCGTGGTGGACGAGAAAGCTTTGGAGGGTAAGAACCTTACTTATAAAACATCTCCTCTACAGAATACTTACTGTAGTAAACTTATCCTCTTCGTCCCTTGCATGACATACATGTATATAACGCCATGACTTTTTTCTTCCATCTGGGTCTATCCTTTGTCACCTAGTGTATTCTGTATCTGTATGGCCAGAATAACCGCCCTTTGGCATAACACACCAGCTTCGCAGGCACGCGGCGCGGCGGCATCTGGCTACATTACACTGAACGACTTGTTACACCTACCACTTGAACATCTAACTCAAAACATTGTTAAAGCTATCTAATGATAATGCATCTACTGTATTATTCACCAGAAAGACTGTTATCGTTTGGAAGAAAACACTTGAAATGACTGAGCAATATTTTCCTCCCTTTTCAGTTTCAAGTGCTCCTGAAAAATTTGGCGGGAAAGTGTCTGCAATCTTCTTGGTGACGGCGATACAACAAGACCACGATGAGCTGTGACGTCACTAAGACTTTAGCCTTCTTCCTTACTTCTCAAGAAAAAATATGCAACAATAACAATCACGCCAGTTTAGTTTTTTAGATATTAAGTTTTGCAATCACACTAACATGACGTAATCTCGTTGAAGTAGTGATGTTAGGAATGGAATGTTAGGGATATATCTCAGAGGGAAAGACTCAAAGCCACGTAATTCTATAGTTTCAAATACTGTCCATATGATATAGTGGACGTAAGGTAATTTCTGTGGATCAAGATCTGATAAAGATCACAGATTAGTACTTCTGTTTTAGCTGACTATTGAGTACTGTACTGAGCTGCTATGTAAACTTGTGGAAACGTTACAGTGTCAGTGAACTGTGGAAAGATAGAACTCTCTTTTATATGCATGTCCATGTGGCAAAAATGTACTTTTGATGAAACACGTGCCTTGTGAGATTACCTTCTGGTAGCAGCGAATTGTTTACAGCAATAAATGTTCTGTCACTTTCTATGTGTTGTGCATTTTTTATTGCCATCATTGATTAATACCAGTACTTCATACGCACGATAGTACAAACCACGCAGATTGGATAATTGCAGAGTTTCGGTTAGCTGTTTTTTGTCCCCAGTATACGGCTTAAAGACTTGACCAACCAACTATCCTCACTACTACACACACTCTTGATTTACACACTGTTTACTTTCGTAAGGCTTAACACTTAACATTTGGTGTTTCAGGACGAGCACTTCTCCTGCAGTTTCACTTACGCAGCCAAGCCCATCAACGTCACAGACGAGGTCAGTTTCTGCTCCTGAAATATTCCGTGCCATGGCTTTGATAATCTACAAGCGAATGTTGGAAGGCTAAATCGTTACGTTCTTAAACTCTCCGTTTTTTGTTACAAACGGCTTTCGTTACGATCTTGCCTTTCAACGTCTGTTCGGAGATGACCCCCTTGATAGTTTTAGGAAATTCTTGTACTAGGTAATATATCGTAGAACCATTTTTAATTTGTTGATTGTGCCACTGATTAGACAATATATTTATACATATGTTACAACGTGTTGAAACTAACTTACAATCATAATTGAACAGTACATTTATTGGTAGTCTTGTTTTCTACATTTGAGAGAAATAATTAATAATGGGCAATATTTGTTTGTTTTATCCTTGTTTGACGTAAATTTTGTCGAACGTTTTCATTACCGTAAATTATTTTCACAGAAATACAGCAAAAAGCATTCGTGTTACCACGGCGCTGCTGGCTTTGTCACACCGAAGTTATGATATATTCTAACTACAAATGATTATGGTCCCCTTATCCAGAGGAGTGGCGAATGACTCAGTCTTTCCAGAAAGTGTCTTTTTCAAGATGGTGACCAGAGGAAGTCGCTGCTACGTCATCAAAGTCTTCTACATGTGTCTAAACTAATCTGACAGAAGTGCACTTCTTGTTGTAGGAATGGAGAATTTCCTTGACCGTAAGCCCTGACGGGAGTGCCTACTCCTGTCACTTCTTCTGCAACAACGAACGGTAAGAATGGCCACGTGATCATCACGTGACCGCGGGTAAGATGACGGACTTGGTTGCAGGTGTCAACAACATTCTACCAAATTTGGAGCAATTACTACAGCGTTTGGCTTTAGTTTGACTGAAACGTTACTTGTAGATGAAGATTCAAAACAGCTAAATGAGGAGGATGATTGACATCTGTTTGTCAAGACCGCCATGTTACTCACCATTTCACCCTTATCTCAGGGTGAATGACCCACCTATAACAGCCGTCTGAATCGTCTTTCCTGTTGTAGGAATGGAGGCTAACATTGACAAGAAGTCCGGATGACAGTGCATATTCCTGCCAGGCAGAAAGGTAGTATGGCCATTTATGAAGCTGCCGATGCGTGTAGGTGCCATCTTCGTTGCGAGTAGACGCCATCTTCAATGCACCCGTTTTCTAAACGCACTCCATGGATCCAAACAGTAGACATTGTCAACAACTATAAAAATTGAGCAATTATCACAAAAAAAAACCGGATTAGCAAGCTGATGTAAAGCTGTAGCTTTGGAAGATCCGAACGCTACTTAACATGAAATAACATTAGAATTTGCAAAGATTACAGCAAGAAACTGCTTAGCTTTCGTATGTAGTTTAGTCCATGAATAACATAAAAAAAGAAGAACGTTTTGAGAACAGAACAGTTTTGTTTGGGAAATTTCATGGCAAATTTTGGACAATACAAGGGTTATGTGCTCGAAGATCCTCGACACAACATACGAGAAAGAACATGGTATGGGTAAGTATAGTACAGTTCAAAGACCTTTCGAGGGCAGTGTTGCTTTGAAAGTTTCTTCCTACATGCGACAACTACATTTTACGCTGCCTATGGCTAGTCGCTTGTGTACAGTATAATTTAGTTTAAACTCAGACAGAAAAGTCAAATGTTAGGCAATACTGCCCAAGGAGACCAACAACCAATCGATATGGAGGACCCAGTTATCACATAGTCTATTAAAAAACCTTTGAAATATCTATCAAGCTCACTAAAACATAACAAATACACCTGGTATTAAAATAAGTTCAAAGTCAACCCATATTATTTTGGACTTTCTTTTTGTAATATGTTTCAAACTTGACAGAATATTTTCATCATTTGTTAAGCTTCACGGAAATGCTGTCTGGATTTCGATTTACACTTTTCTCTTCTTCCTTCCAGACAAGGTCTGACGTCAGAGGTGGCGTTCCAGAAGTTCCACCTGAAGGTCAAAGGTGACGCCACCCGCTATGGATACACAGAAGTCTACGTAAGTACTACATGATCAGCGCCATCCGTTGTTTACGCGAAAGAGAGCGAAATCAAATGTTTATTATAACATGTACATAGCATTTGAGCTATAGCAAACAAGGGCTTAGACAAGCGACTTTGAAGGATCTTTGATAGGGATATGGCGTTTTTGTCTATTGGCCGCCAAAAAAACAACAAAAAAAAACAGAAAAAGAAACAAACAAACAAACAAACAACGGTACATGTACGTATTTCGAAATCCATAGTAAATTGGTAAACAATCATTGGTTTGGGTGCTATTGATAAGCACAGGGTTGACGTTAGCACTAGTTCTGATGAAATGAAATATATTAAAGCTATCTTCTGGCATTCGAACACCTGTTGAATGTTTTTGAATCGTAATTTGTTCCACAGAGTGACCCTGACACCAAGTTGTCCCAGGAAGAGTACAGTGTAGATGAGGACAAAATGGAAGGTGAGTGACCATGTCTAGCCAGTATTTCAATGTTCGAAAAATAAGCAACATAATAACACAATAATTTTGACAGATGTATGAATTGTTCTTGGTAAGAGACAACAACTGTTTTTCACGGACAATCACGGTACATAAAGAAGTTTCAAATTTTGTTATTGAATTGAACAAATAGTAAAATTATGATCATTCTTTTTAATTTGTCTCCAGTGACCCAAGTCGACGGCAAGTTTGGTAACCGGTTGTCAGCAGTGGTGATCGTGGCCGGCATGCCCCTCAACCACGAGGAGTTGTAACGGCAGACAACCTTAGGCGGCCAGATAGATCGGGAACCACCACATGTTTCTCTTTGAAAATCACGAGCCATATTTCGGAAACAATGTTATTGATCTAGTAGAAAGTAATTGTCTGAAAGTATGCAGGAGTCGCCATAATGTAAGGGATGGGGAACAGTTATGGTAGACTATGATTTGTATTTTTATTTGCTACTGATAGACTTTACTTACATGTAGTAACATTTCATTGTTGAACATTGAATAAGTCTTAGTCTTAGAATAAAACTCTGGTAGTTGTAGCAAAACGTTACGTAGCATAGCTCAGTCTAGTTCTAGTTACAAAGGACGGAGTACCATCTTAAAGTATCGTAGTTTGGGAACCTTATCTTATACTAGTAAGTCCAACAGAAGGAAGTAGCAATATGTCTTACATGTTACCTTGCCATACTGCTCTCAAGCTGATCTTAGAATCTACTAGTATTGTGGCTCGGGGAACAAATTTCAGTACTGGTGCTAAATACCTGCTTTTATACATTTTTAATAAAATGATGAACACTTTGTTAAATTCTTGATTTTGTTTACATTAGTTACTACTTATTAGCATCCTATCACAGAGACAAGTTATTTGACGGTGTCTGACTTAATATATTTGAACCTGTTCAGTTCTTCTTTTCTAAAGTAAGTATGCCAGTCCGGCATTGGCCAATCAGAGGCAGAAGGAAGTTGTGTGCGGTTTCAAGGCGCCCCACGTTTGCCGAACAGCGCACCTCTCAGGAACTCCTCCCTGTAAAAGGCGGGAAAAACACAGATGCATGTGTATGGTTCCTGTTAACCCGAACAATCGCACTACAGGAGTGAGTTTTAGGTTTAGGAACGTCTGCAAACACCCATGTACGTTGTTTGTATGCCCAAAACGTTTCTGCACGTCTAGTGAGGAGTGTACTTCCAGTTAACATCATTACAGACGTCAAACAAAAGGTGTCTAACTACGAGCTTGTCTGGTACAATTTGTTTGAGACCGTGATCTGGTCTTTCATGTGTTGTAGTGTTGCAGAAGCCAGCTGAGAACCGAGCAGGCTAATTTGGAGCTCCGAGTAAGATTTGGAAGTGCTTCCGTTGATCAAAGGACGGCTGTCAAGTTCCGAACATATCACTTAGACTCTGGGGAACGCCAGCGATAGAAGTAATCCTCGACGATGAAACACGGAATCAGATAAAATAACATTCGAAGCCTATAAAACATGGACAATCTTGTTTGTCAACACCCATATTAAACCACGGCAAGTAAATTATGGATGACATCCTCTGTAAACACCTAATCTAATTGAGGGCGAAAAAGTAACATGTAAGGTATTTTCGAAATAGGCACCACATAAACGTTGTAATAAGACTTGAAACATGGTATTACAGTCTTTTATTCCTGCATTCAAGAAGTGCAGAAAGTACATGTGGTAAGCATAGTATCACCCAAGACGGCCAAATTAGGAGTATTGGAATATTGGAGCCCAGGCGTAAACTAACTAGGATCCGATGGCATCCAGAAACAATTGGTACGTGTTTTACTTACTGTCTGAGACAGTAGTACTCCCAGTCCTGATACCCACACACCAGCGGCTTGCAGCAGGTGGGACTGATGACTTCACCCCGGTGGAAGTACAGACCGCACTGCTTACCTTCCCTCAGACACGGCTTTTGGGGATAGATACAAGGTACTAGTAACTTTACTGCTAGACAATTTCTAACATATAGGTCGATATTCTTAAACTACAGGAATGAGGACCCTGGGTCCTGCCATAAACAATTCCCCGCTGTGGCTTCTCCAGCAGCTTTAAGATGGGATGTATCATACAATCTACACTTTTCCAAGTAAAAAAAATGTTTACGGAGAACCACGCACAAGTTCTGACTGTTACGTCCAGGCTCTTTTTACTTCAAAAGTATATCTCCATATGCGTTTAGAAACAAGATAATTCCGTCTAGTGCATAAACGACACCATAGGGGAGTCTTTTCCCCTTTCAGAAGTGTGATCTTACTTTAAGAGCCTGGTATCACAAGAAACAGCGCTAAAGATCATGAAAGAAAAGCCATTTACAAGGAGAGCTACACGATTTTGCTATCAGTAAAGTGCATCAACTTGGGCTTTTTACAACGATGCCAACGACGATCAATCACGGCTTTGTTGTAAAGGAAAAGTGACAATGTGCACAGCAGAAGGTGAAAGTCTCCCATTATCGAAATGGAATATTAGTGACACGGGAGTACTTTCATACAGACCTATTTGTCTTTACTTGGAGGTATAAGTGTTTTATACATCCATGGTCTGTACCTTTGTATAGAAAAGGTTTAATGGCGAGAGTCTCAAAGATATTGACAGATAGATAGCATCTGAGTAGGGGTGTGAAATGCCTCATAACCTTCACTGGGTGCGTCAATGAGTGGGGAGAGTTAATAGAGGGTAAGAATTTCCCATATGTACTAGAAACGGCATAATGATATTTTCGGCACATTTGACGTGTCCATCTTCTTTTGAAATGTACTACAGCTCTCAATAGGGAAGGGACATACGCAGCAAGGAAGTGTGTTTCTGTTAACCGAAGCGAACACCGGCACCACATAGGTTCGATCTGTTAAGTGTTATTGGTTAGTTCGAAATTTCTGCAACTCAAATCCCAAAGCAGACGGATACTGCCTGCACATACGATAGAGTTGATGGCCTTCATCTAACCGACCATTTGGAAGTGCACTCCGTTACGGAGTGTTGAACATACATGTACTATATCAGCTTTATAGATTATCCTACCCAAAGCTACCGTATTTTAAGGTTGTACCTGCTATTGTTGGGATAATTTGATCCTCTATTCCAATGATATTGTTCAACTTGGTCATCCAGCAAAAAATCAATTGCTGTAACAAAGCTTAAGGTAGTTTGTTTTCTCACCTGCGGACCTGGATTCTTCGGGCCCTCCTCCGACGTCCTTTCCGACATTGCCGTAACAACGCAGACGACGTTCAGGAGAACGAAACTGCCGACAAGCGCCATGACAACGGACGAGGACATCGCTGAACGTTTTTTCCTCCAGTCAGACGCCCGTGTTAGCGTTTCAAACAGCCAGAAGCAGTATTTATACCAGTTCGGCTGGATGAAAATGTGTAGGTGTAGGTTTCCAGCCTTTAGAACTTAACGACGTCATACGGGGAGTTGAGATGAGGCCCAGGGGATCTTAGTTTTAACACGTTACGACGTGTTCAAAAGGCGTTATAATGGGCGCAGCTGGTACTTGAGTTGAGCTATGATTTGAACATGTGGTTTGTGGTCCGCGCAAACTTTATGGTAACGTAGATGTAAAGGATTTTGCAACAGCTTTACGGTGCGGCAAATGAAACATTTTGAGTCATTTTCTTTCTAAATGCCCTTAAACATACATGTATCCTTGAAAAAGTTCATGTCTAAAAAACACCATTTTCAAAAGCAGCTCACCTTAAGCTCAACCTCAAGTGATGTATGTAGATTACACCAACCATTTGTCTCATACTGACATACTTATTAAAAATCTTCGTAAGTAGTAATTTGCAGGGCTTAATTAACTTCATCACAGAAGACTGGAGATTGGAAATGTTAATTTATATGGCATTATAAAATTTGGATCATGTTGCGTACAAGACAGGATAATTGTTATTTTTGTTTGTTATGATTTCACATTAATAAGTGTTAAGTGTGTTCTGAGGGGTGGGGGCTAATGAGTTAGCTGAAAATTTGTTTCGTTAACCAAAGTCTTTTTACAAAACATCTTCACTGCACACTGAATCCCAAATGCACTGAATGGAGAGTGCAGCATATGCACTCAGAATGATAGATGTTTATGACATAATAGTTTGAGTCATATTGAGTAATAATATCACTATGTGAATTGGAAAAAAATACATTAAAGGTTATATCATATGTAATGTGACATATTTTTATTTTGATCGCATTTCTTGATTATTGTATCGCTTGGCTTGTGCACAAGCAAGATTGTTGGACCATAGAGGAAAAATGTGTGTATGAAGTCCCCATGTTTTTGTGAATACTGTTGTGTATATGAAGTCCCTATGTAGACAGGTTACATATTCTTTCATCAGGATGGCACACACTTGTATTGAGAGTATCTGTATATAAATCCATGACTTGCTGTGTCGCTATGTTGGCATGTTCTCCATCTCAGGAGGACACATATTTTACATATAAACCGTTGAACTGTTGTGTATGAAGTTCTTTTGTGTGAAGACTGTTATGAGTATGAAGTCCCGATGCAGGGCACATACATGTAGTCAGCGTATCCGTATATAAATCTATGACCTGCTACAGTGTATGTCTCTATGTTGGCAGATTACATATTCCATATCAGGTACACACATATTCTTACATATAAACTGCTGAACTGTTGTGTGTGAAGTTCTATGTTGGTGTGAAGACTGTTGTGTGTATGAAGTCCCTATGAAGGGCACATACATGTAGTCAGAGTATCCATATATAAACCCATGACCTGTTGTGTCTCTATATATTCTTCCATTTCAAGAGGATACATATTTTACATATAAACCGTTGACCTGTTGAACTGTTGTGTAAGAAGTTCTATTTTGGTGTGAAGACTGTTGCATGTATTATGTCCCTATGCATGGCACATACATGTTTAGACTATCCTTATATAAACCCATGTCGCTATGTTGGGATATCCTCTGGAGGAACACTCTTCAGACACAGTCTAGCCAGCAGGCCTGCCAGCTGCAGCAGGGAGTCTACACCCTGGACTATCCTCATGTGGGTGTAACCAATCTCCTGGGGGGTGGTGGGGGGTGGGAAGTTGTACATTTTACACAACATCTTTCACCTACTAAAGCTAGAACTGGAAATCTTTGCAGTATGTTTTAGTTTGCAGTGAATTTTCGCCTTCATTCAGAATAATGAAGAAACATGGAAAAGTTCCAAACTCTCAAATTTCTAGCAAATGGTTCAAATTGTACATATATAAAAGAAAGAGAACATTTTCTTGTGTGAGTAAACTTTGGTATCAACAGTACATGTACAGATTATCTCAGAGTTGCAATTCTAGAAATCAGTAAATGGCATCACAAAAATCCATACAGAACAATACACACATTTGCATCTTTTTCATTAGTATACATAGTTATGACTTATGGTTTGAAAACACAAAGCCTTAACTTTCATGAACCTATAACTTCAAACCTGGATACTCCATAATAGTACTTACCTTAATAAACTCCAACTTGAGGTACTCGTGCATCTGGTATGTCTTACACACACGGAAGATGTTTCCGATGATGTCTTCAGGTGAGTAGCCCATCTTCCACAGGTGCTTCAGGATCTTGTAGGCTTCGTCAATGTTGGCGTCCACACAGTGGCCCAACATTTCCTTCACCAGGAGGGGGTGGGGCTCATCACAAACCTGTAAGGAGTTCAGTTTCCATATTTCATTACCTCTGCAAAGATGGTTACAACATTCACCTAGAAGGTTATGTTTTCAGTAAACATGGTTTTCACATATGATCTTTCTGGATCCACTATATAGTATAGCAGTATATGATAAGTCACTAACCTTGAACACATTCTCACTGTTGACATATCCAAAGCCAGACCATGTGGACTGTAAGTTGTTCAGTGCCTGGATGGAATGACAGATACATAAACTGTATTGGGGTGAAACATGTACATGTCATGTAGTGTACTGATGAAGAAACATTAGAAAAAAAACACACACAAATAACACTGAATAACAACACATCACCATGATGCCTACAAGTTAAATATAAAATAAATTAAGCTACAAAACAAAGACATTTAGAATCCAATACGATTCAAAAACCCATAGATGTATAGTCAAACCTGGTGTTATCCTTAAGGACAGTTACACAGATGCTTCACTTCACTAATATGTGTACCTGTCTCATGTCCCCCTGAGCGGTGAATATGATAGCCTCCAGCCCGTCGTCTGTGTGTTCTACATTCTCCTTCTCACACACAAACAGCAGTCTCTCCAGGATCTGGTTATCAGTCAGCTTACTGTACCTCAGCACTGCACAGCGAGACTGGATAGCCTCTGGGAGAAAACATGGAGGAAAAACAATTTCATCTCACATATAAATATATGTATACTGTTTTATACTTGTGTCACAAGGAGTTACTGACAACACTGCTTTGCCATATGGGTGAAATTCTGTGGATCCTACAGGGTGGGCATTTAATCCCCCTTTTGGCACAACTATTTGAGGTTGCATTTGTCTTTTTGGATAATAGGGACATTAAGTTGGGGGCCCATTGTATGGGGGAGCTTCAGGCAGTAACCTCATGTGTTTAGTACAGATGTAACACAGATGGGAGTCTTTTATTTTACCTTTTCTTCATTCCTTTTCGTTTTGTCATCTCTTCTTTCTTTCTATCAAACTCATTTGTTTGCAGGAAGAGTGGTGAAGATTCTCACCTATGATCTTATCTGAAGCGTTACAGGCCAGGGCAAAGCGGGTAGTTTTGGAGTAGATCTCCATAGTTCTCCTCAGGGCCTGCTGGGCTCCATCTGTCATACTGGGGAAGGAAAAAAAAAGGAACTGCTGGTGAAAAAGTTTCATTTGTAACAAGAGTAAGTCAATGCACAAAATACTGGTAACACAACACTGAATACCTTTTATTGTTTTAGCACATACTGTAAGTGAAGAAAATGATGAAGATAAGTGTTACCTGTCTGCCTCATCCAGGATGATGATTTTGTGCCTCCCTTTGGGAAGAGTGACTTTCTGCTGGGCAAACATCTTGATCTTGTTCCTCACCACGTCTATTCCTCTGGAGAGAAAACATAAAACAAAGGGTTTTAACGTGTGTGAATGAAGACTGGGCTTGAAATAATCTGTTTGCTGCAGATGAGATTCCAATAACTTCAGTATGTTTTTTAAAACATTTTATTACCTGTCATTTGAAGCATTCAGTTCCAGTACGGCATCCTTATATGCTGGTCCCAACAGGGTCCTAGCCAAACACAGGATACTGGTTGTCTTTCCTATACCTGGGGAGCCCTGTGGAAAACAGGAAAATGCTCTTTGATGTAGAGAAACATCTCATCATATGATAATCAAGGAGGCTTTATCATAAGCAACACTGAACATATAAAAGGTTAGCAAAGGAGAACATTATCTTAAATCAATTATTACCTATTTTCAACCATTTGGGTAATATACAGATACAACTCACAAGTTACTTGTCACAATAGCATTTACAATTTGTACATGTGATGTTGATGGGACCAGCTGTTATTAGGCAAGTCGACACAGGAGGCCTTTAACGAGCTACAGTCTAACATCACTAAAGCAGTAAAGAAACATGTTCCAAAAAAAACACTTGACTGTGGAAAAACAAGACTAAAGCCGAAATGGATGAACAGAAACTCCTATCGGAAGACCAAAAAAAAGCACCATGCATGGACAAAATATCTCAACACCAAGAGCACGCGTGATTGGGAAGCGTACAAGAAAGCGCGAAACGCGGCCACTCATGCAACCAAGTATGCACGCAGAAGCTTTGAGAAAATGCTTGCTAAAGAGGCCAAAACCAACAACAAAGCATTCTGGAGTTACGTGAACAGCAGAAGAACAACCAAATCACAAGTAGGACAACTTAGGGATGCACATGGGAATATTGCAACAACAGACAAACAAAAAGCAGAGGTGCTGAATGAACAGTATTACAAAACATTCACACATGAGAACCGGGATAATATTCCAGTATTCCAGTGCCACCAAGGCTCAAAACTGGAAACCATAGAAGTGACTGAGGACCTGGTGTACAAACAACTCAAGTCACTAAGGACGGATAAATCCCCAGGGAACGATGGGATGCATCCCAGGATACTGAGAGAACTTGCACATGTGATTGTTAGACCACTGACCTCAATATTTCAACTAAGCATTAACAATGCTGAACTTCCTGACCAATGGACAGAAGCCAGCATCACCCCGATTTACAAGAAGGGAGATAAATCGGACCCAGCTAACTACAGACCAGTGTCACTCACATCGGTACCGTGCAAGATGATGGAGAGACTCATTTCTGACGCAATAATAGATCACATCAAGAAAAATGACCTCAGCTGTGTACAACAGCACGGCTTTACCCAAGGCAAGTCAACGGTGACCAACCTGCTAGAGGCCCTAGATGTGTGGACTGAAACTTTGAGCCACCAAGTACCTGTTGACGTCATATTCCTTGATTACGCGAAAGCGTTTGATACAGTACCACACGAGAGATTGCTAAGGAAACTTGAGTCACATGGGATTGTGGGGAAACTCTTGAAATGGATAAGAACATTTACTCACACGCCGCACGCAACAAGTCGTGGTGAATGGCAAAGCATCCAGCCCTAAGCATGTAGCCAGCGGAGTTCCGCAAGGGTCGGTCTTGGGCCCGCTATTATTCATGATCTTTGTCAGCGATATCCCCGCAGAGCTAAAAAACTTTGTATCACTTTTTGCGGACGACACTAAAGTATATGCAGCGGCGCAAGAATGTGAAGAGAACTCCCACAGTGAGTGTCTGCAAGCCGACCTAGGAAAACTCCAAGAATGGTCAGAGCGGATGCAGATGAGATTTCACCCGGATAAATGCAAGGTCCTACACCTTGGGAAAAACAATCCTCGTCATGAATACACCATGTCAAAAGCAGATGGCACACTGCACAGGATAGAGTGCATCGAGGAAGAAAAGGACCTGGGTGTACTAATCGACAGTAAGCTGAGTTTCAGCAGCCATGTACAAACCCAGGTCAACAAGGCCAACAGAGTACTGGGGACTATCAAACACACCTTTAAGTACCTGGATGAGGACTCTTTCATGTTGCTATACAAGAGCCTAGTCCGCCCACACTTGGAGTACGCTACAGCTGTATGGTCACCCAGAACCAAGAGGGACAGAGACCTGTTAGAAAGGGTGCAGCGAAGAGCGACAAAGCTAGTGTCAAGTATAGCCCACCTCTCATATTCGGAAAGGCTAGCAGTCCTGGGCCTACCAACGCTGTACTACAGAAGGCAGAGAACAGATGTGATACAGCTGTTCAAAATCACACATGGGATAGACATGGTGCGTACAAACCAGTGCAAGTTGTGCAACAGGATGTCACTCACACGCAGCAGTGCCACAAATACCAGGGGTCACCAATACAAGTACCAGGTCCAACTGGCAAAAGGGCAGAGGTCAAACTTCTTCTACACACGAGCGATTCCAGCCTGGAATAGACTGTCAGAGAGTACAGTATCCAGAAGTACTGTGAACCAGTTTAAAGCAAGACTGGCGATCGAGTGGAAGGATCATCCGGACCAGTTCCAGTACAACTTTAGCTACTGACTGCCACTACCGCCAAAGCTAGGCCAGCCTCATTACCCTAGATGGTACCTACTGGCTGATCTTCAAGGTGAGAAATTCAAGGTGAGAAATTATATACTTACTGCTATGATAATGTTGGGCATGTTCCCCTGTTGTGAGAAGATTTCTAGTCTGCTGACGGTGTCCTCATTCCCAACCACGTCTGACAGCTTCACCGGGCGGTACTTTTCTACCCTGTGCACGTGTGGAAATGATACAACATAAAGCCCGGCCCCACGTTTACTGGATAATTAATTTCTCGTTTGGTACACTAAAAAGGGAAGAAAAGGCCCAGCAATTAATAGAAAAGTCATTATCTAAAGAGCATGTCGTATGGCTCAAACTGCAAAATGGTACTGCATAAAACTACCATGCATACCTAAGTTATTAAATTATGTTGTTGTTGTTGTAATGTTGTCAGTGTTTAATGTCTATTACTCCGCTAGACATAGTCTCAGGGTGCCATCAACAAAACTACTCATCACAAAACATTGTGTGGGAGGGGGGAATTCGCTACAGACGATTCAAGAGAAAAATGTCTCAAGAGTACATCTTACCAAGGAAGCTCGTAGCCAGGTGATGAACCAGAGGTACCGGGCTTTGCCTTGTCGGCCTTCTTAGCGTCTTCCTTCGGCGCCTCCTTGCTGGTTTGAGGCGTGTCCACTTCCATGTCGCCCTGTCCGTCAGCCATCTTTGCCACTTCGCGCCAAATTTTCAGTCGGGCTATGCCACTCATAATATGGGGTTATACTGGCGTCAGCTGTAATAACGTTATATGTACAATAACGCTTTATTAACTCAAATTTTGAAAGTAAATATGAAATCTTAAATGTAAAATACGAATAACATACATCAGTTATTAAAAGATGTCAGATATATTTCATTTTTCTGTGACACCCCTAAATACATAGTGGCTCATTCGAGTTGCATGCCGGGTAACATCCCGGAAGTTGGCGGTCGATTTTAAGATAATTTTTGACAAAACTCAAGATTTCTTCGCCTGTTTTTGAAGAAACTGGGTACGTTTGCTTTTCTTTTGAAGTGAAAACAGCTAAAGGTGTGCCTTTTCTCTCTTTTTGTCACTTTTTATGTTACTCAGTGTCTATTTTCACAGATTTATTGTCGTATTTTGCATTGTCTAGTTCGACGCCCGGCGAGCTTCTTGGTAAAGATGGCCAGAACAAAAATAACGAAGAGGCGAGAAGCTACAAGAAAGCCCACAGCCAGCGCTGACAGAGTTTCAGGCGGAAGAGTTGAGAGACAGAGAATTAGTGGTCGGACACAGTCGACGTCCTCCTCGTCCGGTTCTGATGCAGCCAAGAGACGTAAAAGAGCAGAAAAGAGGAAACACTCTGACTCGAGCTCAGACTCAGAGCCCAAGAACAAGGGAGGGGCAAGAAAACGTCCTACAAGTTCACGGTCGTCCGAGTCCGAATCGTCACCAAAAACAGGTAATCGTTTATAGCATAGCATTCCTTTCTGGAGAAGGTTTCAGAATTCTATCACCTTTGTTCAATGAAATAATACGATTAATCGTGATCACAATTAACTCATTCCTGTAATATAATACACTATCATTGTTAGCCGTGGCGACTCTTGATTCGGGCTTACATTGCATTACCCTCAGCAAGAGTCGTGGAAAGATCCATTGGCAGAACTGCACATTTCCCGTTGGCTGCACGATGCTCCGTTTTTGACCCGGTTTTTTGCTGTCCCGAGCTTCCCTACAATATAACTCCACAATTGGCCGGGTTGCCGATGCTTAGATCAGCCTAAATATTCCACAGCGCGACAGAAAAGTAGTAAAATAGCTAGTCGGCACAAGCTGGCGGCCATCTTGGATATAGTCGGGAATGTCCGCTACCGCCGTCGGGAACGCTCGGTAGCGTCACGATTACCGAAGCGCGACCGAAAGCTCTCCGATTATAACGGAAAGGCTACCGAGCATTCCCGACGGCGGTAGCGGACATTCTCGACTATATCCAAGATGGCCGCCATCTTGTGCCGACTAGCTATTTTACTACTTTTCTGTCGCGCTGTGAAATATTTAGGCTGATCTAAACATCGGCAACCCTGCCAATTGTGGAGTTATATTGTAGGGAAGCTCGGGACAGCAAAAAACCGGGTCAAAAACGGAGCATCGTGCAGCCAACGGGAAATGTGCAGTTCTGCCAATGGATCTTTCCACGACTCTTGTTGAGGGTAATGCAATGTAAGCCCGAATCAAGAGTCGCCACGGCTATATCATTGTCAGCATCAGCATCACACTAATCCAATCATTGTCTTAATTCTTATTAAAGCCAAGAGGAGAGGCCAGTCCAAAGCTCGTCTCCCTGCAGCGGAGTACAGGAAGAAGAGGATAACAGCAGCTGCCATGAAGAAGTGGAAACCCATCAGTTCTGAAACCAGGGCCATGACCTCCAATATCATGGATGCTGCAATCACGTATGTTGAAACTAGATAATTTTGAACCTCTCTGGTGGACGATTGAAGTACATTGACGATTCCAAGGACATTATGTACATGTACATGGTATTTTTAATGTCCTAGACAATTCAAATTTTGGGACCATTGTCATCTCACCTGCAATCCTTTTTTTTTTTATAAGGGGTGGACATTATAACTGGACAAGTTAGTTTAATTTCTCCCAACTTCTAGAGAAAGTAATTTGATTTGTTGTAAATGATAGGGAGGTTGCAAATATTAGCTGTATCTTCCTGAAATTCTTTGCAACTGAATCTTGTTCAATTTCACTTCCTATTAGGTCTGTGCTGAGTAGCATGAAGCCTGGACGAAAGGGGTTCCTTGAAGTGCAAGATCAGCTCAACAACTTGAGGGATGGGTGTGTTTTTTTTTACAATACTTGCCTCATTCCATATGACTAAAGGTTGCACAAAATAATAATAATGTATCCTTCATTCGTTTGATTCATAGTAACACTATCATTATGTAGACTGTAGTACAGATAGTCATTGAATTGTTGCTTTGTGAGCATATTCTGATTTTTGTTCTATTGATCATTTGTAGGATCTGTGAACATTTTGACACTGCCAAAGCTCCTGCTAAAAAAGTGGACTACAGTGCCATTCATGCTAAAAGGGTAAGGCTTTCATCCTTTATTACCTCACACAAGATACTGAGCTATGTAATGAGTCTGAAATTTCCTTGAATTGCAAATGTTCGCTAGATACACGGGCAGTACTAGTACATGTACATGTATTGTATCATAGCAAAATTGAAATACATCCGAAATTAAGATGTGTGTGTGATGATTACTGTACTTTATCTTGTTTTTCCCCAGTTGCTAGTTATTCATAACTTTTAGCAGCATTTTGTTGACAAAAAGTCTTTCTGTGTTGCTATCCAGTAATTGATCCATTTTCTTGTGTCTGCAGAAGATGATTCGGGAAGACTTGAAGATGCAGGAGGAACACCTGGCTGTCCTAGAGGCAGAGATCAAGCGGCTAGAAAAGTAGTTACACTTATTTGTTCATGATTTTCCTATGTTATACATTCATTCTATATTGGTGATAGGGGTGAGTACTGTGTCTGGGCCAGCTGATTTAAATCCTGAGTGGCCATGAGTTTTTGGTACTCTTGTTTGAACAGGTGTGTCTGTGGATGCTTGATGTCCACATTTCATCATGTGTCTTTTCTTACAGAGTTGTTTCAAAGAAGGAGCAAAAACTGGGCAGACTGAAAGATGCAGCAGAGATGTCTACAGAAATGCAGGTATTTATCATTTTTGCAAATTACATTGCAAATTGCGTATCAAAATGTTTGGTAGTCTTATGCACTACACTGGCCACAGTTCATGTATATCAGTTTGTTTTCGTATCAAAGTTCATCATTAACAAAGATGTTTTCTTCTGTTTGTAGCTTCACCCTATCCTTGAAGATCTTCCTGAACCATGCCTGAGCCTGCCTTCACCATTTACTGGAAACCATGCCGTAAGCCAGGTAGGATAGAGAATAGGATAAGTTCTTTCTGTGATAATAGTTTGCTTAGTCAACAAACAAAAGTGTATTTTAGTTATCACCATTGATAACTATCTACCACATGCTAAGATGTATAACTGCTAAAATGAGTTGACATTTGACAATGATTGCCAACTTTTGATGTATGGTTTATACCACCCCCAGCCTTGTGCATCATATGCCAGTATTGCAGAAATGATTCATGTTTGTTGTTTCTCCTAGACTACCACAGGAACTACCCCAGCACAACTGCTCCAAAGTATCCTCAATAGAGACTGAACATAGGGTGTCTCCATTCAAGATATGCAGGGATGTCAAGGCCTTTACTGAACTGGACAAAAGTATCATGTATAGAAAACATTCTGGGTTGTATGGTGAAGTGTTAAAACACTAGTAATTTTTGCACCACTGCATCCATCCTTGTAAATACTTACCAACAAGTCAAAGAAATAAATGAGTCACGAACTGCAGGATTTGTTTCAACAGATATTTTAGTATAAAGAACAATAACACCAACTACGTCTGATTATGATTTTGTTAAACCTTCAACAGCACCATTTATTGCTAACTACATATACATGTACATACAATGTATAGGCGACTCTGATATTTCAACATGTTTGGTTACGTATAGTGTTGTGGCAAGAGCATGCGTCTACAATATATTCTACAATGTAGTTCCATGATACCTGAGAAGACTTTAGATAAACATGCATAACAGAGTTGAGAAATTTGACGGAATGATCTTATGTTATGTACATAGCAACAAAATAATCTTGATTTGAAATTATCATGATTGTAAGAGATATTGTTATGGTGATACGATTATTTTGAAGCAGCTTACTAACTATAGTATACACTTAAAACATGGTGTTATTAAAACATTTCAACAATATAAAAAGTTAGATTTATAAGTAATCTATTGGTGATAAGACTGTTTTTTTCTAACTTTTCACTATATGTACACACTGTAGTACTAGTAGTAACATAAAGCAACTTTAGTGGTTCTTTTTGTCACAACATCAACTCTACATCTGTCTGTGTGTTTTTGGACCATAGTAAAAACACTGTGAACACTTGCTTTGGGACTTTTGTTTCTATGATCATTGGTGTTTCTTTATACTAATTATAGCTATTTTCATTCGGTTAATTCCTTGTTTTCTGAGCTCTTCTTTTCTTTGACAAGATAATGGCTTTCCTCAACACCACCGATGACCACATACCGGTAAGAGACTTCAAGAAGTCATTTTTTACATGCTGGGGCCACAATACCTCCAGCTTTTTGCTGAGTACATGTATCATGTTTGATGTTTGGGTGCTCGATGATGGCGCGGCAAGAAGTAATTTGCATCAGGGCTCAGGCCCATTGTTCTGCCCATTGTGTGTGTCGGGCCAGTCTAGCACCCCTGTTTTACCCTTTAGTTTTAGCATAAGTCCAACTCAAGTCACCAAGGTGACCAATTATTTGTGTCACACATTGTCATCACACTTATCCCATCCAACCAGCTACTCCCATCTTGGCCCCCGGACAGCATTTTAAAAAGCATTTCTTGTGACATAAAGTCTTGTTTTAGGCAGCTCAAAAAGAGTGATGAGAAATCTCTCCCTCCTATGAGCTCAGCACCTTTAGTGAAGCAACAGTGATGATATGTGGGAACATCATGTGAATCTGGTCTGCTCACAGATATGGCTGAAGTTTCTGAAAAATGAAGACCAAAAAACATGATGATCACAATATGTAAATTTACCATACAAAGGTATATAAGAAAGCAAGAACTATCAACCTTCTATAAATGTAATTCTCGTGAAAGTGAAAGATAACTTACTTGGCATGATGAGGTTTACTGTGTTGAGTCCTACAGTTCCTGCCCCAGTAACAGTCTGGTCTAGAGGTTGCTTCAGCTGCACACATGAAGATTAAGTAAAGACTGTGATACCCATGTGTCAAAAAATTCTACCATATAATAATGTAGGATATTCTCATTCTTTACCACTTTAGGTAGCAGCTTATATTCAAACTGCACAATAAAGGCAAGTGTATGGAGGAAAATATGGATATCTTTCTTTGCAGGTTTGATTCCCCAAGTAATAATAAACACAGAAATGTTAGATATGCTTCTTTGCAATCATGGAAAGTTAAACATACATTTCTACTAGTGGACTAGCCCCCTGCATGCAGTAGTGTAATATGTGCGTGTACAGATGTGTAGCCCAGGTACTAACAAAATGGAGATGGTTGCCCCCCTCCCCCATACACCAGTGCTACAGAATGGTTTTGTGCCTGACCTGGTAACTGGTCCGGTGGGATGTGACTCCTGTACTGGTAAGCCAGCTGTCTGAAGTTCCTCAGCCCACAGGTGTAACAGATCACTGAGTCTGGGGTGAGCGGGGAGGACGGCCGGCTGTTGGGATCTAGTAGGAGAAAAGAATTATATTTGTTGTCTCTTGATTGTGAAGCTCTTCATTCAGCTTTGCAATCAACCTTCTTGTAGGGACAACTGTTATGTAATAGTATCAAAGTGATTCAATTTTTGCCCTAGAGCAGTCAGGGATAAAATTACAGAAAAATGTTATCATGTAAGCTGTGATAGTTGATGCTTTTGCACATTTTTGGCACATAAGGTAGATATATAGCATCATAATTATGCCAGACTACATGATGAATACATATTTAAAGCTATCTCCTGCATCTAAAAAAAGTACAAAAGAATTTCTAGTAACATACATGTAGAAATGATAATGAACAGTACACATACCTGTGACAGTATACTCGCCAGCTGCCAGTTTTTCCATACATGTCTGAAGGACATCCCTCAAGGTCAGATTCTTGTCATCCAGGTAGTTCTGAGAACACAACGGCACATTTGTTTCCTTAAGTCATGTGTACATTCATTTACCTTCTACTTAGCTTTGCTTGATCAAGTAATATAGACCAAAGAAGTAAACTGTAGGAAGAACAATTCATGGTTTTAACAAAGGAATATGAAAAAGGCACTGCGTCATTGTTTAATAGACTCACCATGAAGATACTGGACTCATAGTGATTGTTGTTGATGAGATCATTGAGACATCTGCCATCAAAGTATAAATCTGGAAGGACAATAAGAAGAACATGTGTGTTAAATGTGTATACAGACATTTCTTTACACAAATACACTGACAGCCACTGGGTAAAATTCTGAAGATTTTTTTACCTTTGAAGTTGTTGAGACATCCTAAACACCGTGGGTTGTTACAGCCCCAGTACATGTGACAGAACACCCTGTGGCAGAGGGAACCTGAAACATAATAATCACCTTTTTCAATCTTCAGGATAAATAGATTGCTAAGCAAGATGCTAAGTTCTTCCACAGTTAGTTTTTGTCAACCTTTGGAATCAGCATTGGGAGACTAGTAAAGTCAAAATTGTGTATGGAGGCTTACACTTCTGTGGTGGGGAGGGGGGTGTCTCCCTGGTCCTGTCAGGCATGGGTTTCCAGCAGCACTGGCACATGACGTGGTTCTGGTTCACCTGGCACACAAACTGGCATGGCTCCGGAGGGGGAGGGCGCGGACCGGCCAACCTGCGCGCTGGAAAAAACAAAAGTCAAACCATAGCTAAGCCACATATCATTTGTATCTAAAACAAAAAAGGGAATAATAGCTAAACTTGGTGAAAGAATTATTTGTAGGTCAGAAATACTGCCTGTTATCAGTATGTTTAAATCATTAAGCCACATTTCTTTGCTACCTCTTTCTTCTGGACTTGAATCTGTAACTTGAGAAGCCTGAGATGAGGTGGACACAGTAGAATCAGTTCTTGCTGTTGTGGGGGCAGCAGCACCTGAGACAGCTGTGGCAGTGGCAGCTGTCACAGCTACACCAGGTGTTTGTGCTGTCCCTGCTGGATCAGGCGCAGGTGGAGCCGAACTGGATCCGAGAACGCGTGGATCGTACATGGAGATCCCCTGTCCCATGGATACAGGGGCTGGGACACCTGCTACACCGGTGGGTGGTTGCTGCATGACTTGTGTTACTGTAGACACTACTGTGGGCCCCACAACACGCGGGTCATACAGGGTGATCTCCTCTCCCATCCTCACAGGGCTCGTGGCAATACCTGTGGATACAGGTGGGGTGACCAACATGCCTGTAAGGGAAAAATACATCAAATTATAATTACAGCATGCCATTTGGCAGATAAGCATTTGCAGTTCACGCAGTTGAAAATGGAAAAAGGGTAAAACTTTTCAAGTTCATGAACCGAACTAGGGACTAATATGGTAGTAGGAGTAATGCTGAAGTCAAACTTGTGTCAATGCTGAAGTCAAACATTGACTTATATCAAGTACATCAGGAATGAGTGACAGTTCTGAGAACTTCTGACCTGTGACCTGGGCACCAGTGGTGGCAGACGTCGGTGGAGTGTAGTCAGGACACTGTCTACAGATGGTTCTGGGGGGAGGGCGCTGCAAATAAACACACATTCTGTTAATCTGTATGGTAGGAAAGATGCTCTTGAAATACCTGAAAAGCTGAAGTGACACGTACAAAAGCCATCACTTTTAATTGTCTTTTCAGGTGAAAATAAAAAAAGAATGGTATTAAAAGCTACACTTACTGTAGATACATGGTGCATTCCGTACGGACTATAATACGCCCGCCATCCTCTAGGGGTGCTGCCTCCACTAAGGCTGGCATCTTCATGCCCGGAGTCCGAGTCGCTGTATTCATCGCTGTATGACTCGTACTCCCGTCTGTGGTGGCCGTGTTTTGGGTACAACATGTCGTCTGTGATCTTGTTCTTCTTGTTCAACTCTGCCAGGTCTTCCTCACTTCTCTTCTTCTCAGGGTGATCCTGAAGAAAAGCAGTTAACAAAGCTTCTTAATCACCTTTCAGCTTAAGTACAGAATAAGAGACTATAACATATACATGTACATATCCTATTTTAGTCTATTGATGCCACAATGAATCCCTCAATATTTGTGGTGAAATTGTGGGTGTAGTCAAACCTATGAACTCCTCAGCAAGAGAACCACCTGGTCACTGTGGCCATTTTATGGTGGCCCTAAAATTTTTCCCATGATCAAAGCAATTGGACTCCTGTCCAAAGTGACCATTTTAAATCTCTTGAGTGGTCAATATGGACAGGTTTGACCGAATATATCATAACCTTACATCTGTAGATTAATACTACACTGAAAAAATCCTTCTTAATTTATAAATAGATGTCATTTACATCCTCACCAGAGGGAAGACAAATTGTAGTATTACAGCAAGACTTAGTCTTTACCTTGAGGTAGACCTGCACCAGGTTGTTGACGATGTGGTTCTTACTGATGCGGTCCACCTTGTTGCGACAGGAGGGACACAGGTTGGACATGTCCATCCACTGGGAGTAGCAGCCGGCGCAGAACGAGTGCATGCACGGCTGCAGACTGGACATGACAGGAGAAACACATAGGTATAAACATTGGGATTGGCTGCGACAGGCTGAATAAAAGTTCTAAACGGAAACTGCTGTATGCAACTCCGGATGTCTCCGGAACTGAGGTGTGACTGTTGTGTGTTAGATGCCAGTTAGCTAGGGGAATGAATCCACTCTACTACTAGTACAATGTATATAGGCATTGGGATTGACAGACCCAAAGTCAACCATAAATGCTGCACTCTGACACGTAAGAAAGGATGCTGGAGCTACATGCTTTGTTCAAGCCCACCTCAGACATGTTTTACTGGCTCATAGTGAAGAACCACATAAGGCCACATAAGACAACACCTGCAGCCATAAAATCAGATCTATTTCAGAAAGTCAATGAATAGAAATATGTAGTTGAAGTGCCCTTACCTGATGCAGTCATGCAAGATATCCTGACACACCCCACACAGAAGGGTCTCTTCCATTTCATCCCGTGGGGGTGGCTTTGGTTTGTCATCTTTAGACCCTGCAGCACCTTTTTCCGAGGATGGCCCAGCTACCTGAGAATCCCCCCTTGGAAGAGTGGTATCTTCTTTTCCAGTGTCTGGCGGTGTAGAAAAATGATTGTGATTTATGATTCTTCTTTTATATACAAAATCGTGACACAAAATCTGGAAAGATATGATAGAGATTGTTTATATCAACACCTGAAATACAATTTACCTTTGCTGCATTGTTGTACAGCTGATGTACTAGCAGCGCCTCCAGTGGCACTAGCTGGAACTGCAGCACTAGGCTCACTGCTGGTCTTCTGCTGCATGTCACCCTGTTTTGCTTCCTCCCTGGCTTTCTTGGAAACTGGCTCACTTTCAGAAACCTGGCATGGATAAAATCAGTAATCACTAAGTCAATCATCAACCAACAAGTGAGAAGACAGCTGTATCAAAGGCATAGTTTAGACACATTTCATGTTGAACAAATAATGTACATTTGTGTTTAATTTGTTAATATTTTTTCTCACCTCTTCCATCTGTCTCTTAGCTCCACCACTGGCACCACTGGCTTCTGAACCTGTACATAATGACACACAAAAACACTTGTGCTAAGCATAAGAAATTATCTATTTAATTATTACACGTCTGTCAATGTCTTTATTGTCAATGCTCCTTAGTTAATACTATACAATGAAATTTACTGTGTCACAACTATAGATGTTTGGTATTGTGTGCATGCCCTCAGTGTCACTACCACACTACCCTGTCTCTGTGCCCCCCTCCCCAGAACTCACCCATCTCTGTGTTAGGTAGTGTGTAGTCTATGGTTGACCCCTCAGTGTCACTACCATACTCCTGTGTAACATCAAGCAGAGATTCATCCTGTTCTTCCTCTTTTAGCTTTGCCAAATCCTGGAAAAGGTATGCTATGTCTGAAAAAACAAATAGAATACAGCAACATTAGCACTTATGTAACCGATGCATATACAAAATGTAATACATCAATAAACTGCAATGTTAGTAACACACTTGACCAGAACAGAACTGGCGAATTGGTTTGAGTGTAAGACACATGTACTTATGGATCATCGTGTATGAGAACTGTACTGAAATATCTCTTGAGTTGTTCCTTACTTTGCTCAGTGTTGTTCTTCTTGAACACGATGTGGATCTCATCTCCATGGTTCAGTTCCCACTTCTGGCCCTTCCCAACCTTGGTGTTGTTGATCATGGTTCCATTTGTACTGTAAACATAAAACTATTCATTTCAGTGCTTACCTATGTCTTTATAAAAAGTTTTGATTTATAATCTATTCCCTTTCTTTATAATAAGGAATTTTAAAGACTGTGAATGCCCAGTGTTAAAGGTGACAGCCACTGAGACATAAACAAAACACATCAGACCAAGCATATATGTCCAGACATCTTTTGTTTTACATTTGACACCTGACATCTTTTGTTTATGTCTTGGGGCCTTCACCTAAGACATTGTGCATGTGCAATCTTAAACCTGAAACTCCTTATCGAGCCTTTATTGTCAGACATCCCTCTCTGTTAGTCAGTCTCAAAAGCAAAAGGAAGGAAAAAGAAAAGCATGATGTGAAAGATGCCCACCTTGTATCCTGTAGAAAGACCTTCCCTGTTGTAGGTTCCCTGAACAGTGAGCAGTGAGAACTGGACACAAGCTTGTTCTCTGGGAAGGTCATATCACCAGCTGAAACAAAAAAGAGACAATCATGGCATAAAAATCATGAATCAAAATATTTTTCTGCATATGGGGTGCCTGGTGTAGATGGTGGCCAGAACAAGACATTCATATGCAGTATTCTCATTTGTAAAACTGTTACATTTGAAAAACAGACAAAATGAAATGCTAAAGTAAAGAATATAATATATGGAGTTTTCCTAAGTGGATTACATGCAAAAGACATGTCACTTTCAAATCCTTGTATCATCAGCATCATGAAATATTGAAATCTAATAAAATTCAGGTAAAATGACATTACAGGGATAAAAGCCACCTCTCAATATATCATTTTTGACATTTTGGGGTTACCTCCTGGACATAGATGAAAAGGGACGTCTAGTGATATTATTTATATGACAGGGCTGAAAGATCAGAAAATAGATTACTGTATATCTAAATTCACTAAAAAGACTGTATGAATTTCAAAGTACAGTGCATTAGTACTAATAATGTGCATCACAAATATGTAATATTGTATACAAACATCACTTTTTCAAATATCAAGGAATTCTATAATACTAAGTACTTTTTCTTAATCTTATATTATTATAATGACATTTTATAGTCAAGTGAATTATTAATGCAATGCACAGAGAATCACATGCATGTTGTGGCATGTTGAATATCATATGTCTGTGGTATCTCTGAGTTTACAGTTGAACCGACGATATCAATACAATGGGAATTCTGGCAGCTGTTTTTAGTGCAGTAAATTTACAGTGGAGATTAGCATTTTACAGCATTTTAACATAATATGGATGTTTTCTAGTAAAACTGAAGGTACAAAAAACAAACAAAATTGTGCACATGCCAGAAAACAACTGATAAAAATACTGCACTTCTCTCTAATTGCTGTACCCTTCTAATCACTATGCAAATGACTGTCAAACAATTAAAGAAATTAATCCGGCTTTCATTGACAGATGATTTAGATAAATTACACCCACATCAATAGGTGTAATGTGTTTTACTTGTAATGGAAATGAGAACACATTATCTGCTATTGTTTTCTCCTTTCTGAAAATTTGTCTGTGTACACTTCATCTTTTTTTTTAATGCCAGCTCTAAATTTTTTTTAGCCCTTTTGTTTTTGTTTGATGGGGAGTGAGGTGTCCGGCGCCAAAGGCGTTTGCCCGACCAGTGCTCGGGTGCTTCACTTCATCTGGCTTTTCCCGCTTTCCTGACAAATTCCCAGGTCGACAATGATTGATGAACCGAAACAAACGATGAATGTTAATGCCTCACACCCAGTTTTACAGCATTCATTTCTCAAACGCCTGATGATATTACCGATACAGAGACGCCCAGGTAGGATAGAAAATAGTCTCTTCGTTTATGTTTTCGTTCCCTGAGAGCTGAAAACAATCCCGCATTGAAGAACCAAACAAAGAAGCACCGCAAACAAAAATTGAGACCAAGAAAAAATGCGGAAGAAATCGGATACCTCTCCTTCCAATGGTGAATTTGTCCTTGTTGATGGAGACCGGCGCCGAGTCTACATCTGTGGTGCTCACCAGCTGTGCCCATGGCTCTCTGCCTTCCGCAGCAGCCGACATTTCGCGAAAACGTTCGGAAAACGAAGAAGAAACAGGGAGAAAATGTAGCTAAGTGTTGTTCTCTCCCTCCTTTTTGTCAGCTGGGGAGGTCAGGGGTCACTTTTGAAAGCATGCAAACATAAAGTGTATGCAGGGGTTTGGGCAATTTCACGGGGATAATTATAACCTCATGGGCAAACTATATAAATAACAGCTACAATTAAAAACATCAACGATGTTCATGAACAATTTTGCATATGTATATGCAATGCACTTTGCTGTGATTGAAAATATGTTGCGTTGTGATGCGTTGAAACGCGGACAAGCCCTAGCAAGTCAGCTGACCTCAAGTAACCTTGAAGTACTAGCAATGCAATAGCGCCACGTTGTGACCTAACGTGTAACTGCAGCTAAAATAGGTGACGTCAAAGCTAGTCAAACGTAATTTGCACTCCGACGACTTCTCTTGGCATTGCTGCTCATAGCAAGATATGGTTGTGAGCCTTGCATCCCTGACTTCTGGCGTTCGACACATAACTCCACAGTCAAGTTTAATGACAATGAACTTTATTGCATATTTACGCCCTACATGGGCCAAATGCACTGAGGTACAAGGATAGAAGGAACAAGTGTTACATTGCTGTGCTACATCTATATCTACAGGATCTCTTCTCTCTTTTTGAAACATGTATGAACAAATTTACGATCCAGAAATCTAAGTCTATGATGGGCTCATCGACAAGAATACATTGAATTGAAAATTTGACAAACTGGTAAGTAATTCTTATGCATGATACAGAAGTGTGCAGATCCTATTGAAGACCAGTCTGTCTCAGTATCCACCGTACCAGTCCGGAGGAGGCACCCACTCTGACACTGGTCTCCCTTCAATGGACCCGACGTTAAGGGGTATCGGTGTGATCGACATGATGCACCTTAAAAACAGAAAAAGATACGTTTTTACTGATCATTGTTTCTCGTGGCAACCAAGGTCTTCGACGACTCCACGCTGTAATTTTTTTTCAACATTCAAAGAAAACAATACATAGTGGTGACGCACTCAAGCGAAATACACTATAGCCGATATTAACGTCACCACCATACAAAAATATCAAATGGGTAACGTCGCTGTAATTTGCAAAATCAAGTACTCAAGTTTGCAAATAAAGTAAAAAAATAACTTATAAGAAGAGAAATATGTGAACTACAAAACGTGCGCAGACCTTCCAGGCTTCACGCCAAGCTCTCCAACCAGGAAGTCTTGGATCCCTTTAGACCATTTTTCCTTGTCTCCCTCGTTACTCAGCAGAACGTCTGCCAAACGCACGTCACTGTACACACACTTCTCACCGGACCCGCCAAGGAGCAGGCGTTTGTTGACGCGGAGTTCGGAAAGGATGTACTATGCAAGATAGAAAAACAAAAACATCGACAATACTAGTAGTCTCACTTTAGCCGATATGTTACACAGATCAAAGCCTGTACTGTACATCAAACGAGAAAACATGACATAGATTCTGTGAGTTCCTGTCCCTGCAGTTTCGTGGAGTAAACGTAAATCGTAGCACTGAGGATGTAATTCGTAAATAGCCGTATAGGTTTTGAATGGAAACACGGCGTCGCCATTTTGGGCTATGCCAATAGCTTGAATATTATCAAAGGGGCGAAGGTCCATGATTTGTTTCCCAACATAAAAGTAAGAGATAGAGGACAAGAAAGGGAAATCGTACATATGGGGGAGAAAGGTACATGTACTTCACTACTGGTATGCCCCCTCCCATCGTCAAGGTTTTAAACACATTATTAGTCGCAGCACATAGATCACGGGGCATGATCACGAACTGTACAGAGTGTATACGTACTTACCCCCTCATGCATTTTCGAAATTTCCGACATGAGCTTGGACAGCTTGGCGTCGAATTCTTGTGGAACGTTGAAGTTGGCTCGAACGAGAATGTACGGCATTTTGTCAGATTTCGAGCACAGCAGTATAGTAACAGAACCGTCGGAGTGAAAGGACCTTGAACCAGCGGAGGACGTGACATGCAAGCGAGTTCAAAAGTTTAACGGACTTTGGACTCGTGGGGTTAAAACTCGTAATTACGTGTGTGGGGACTAGCTAAGCTAGTCATCTCTCAGAACATATTTATATGTAACTGTTACATGTATACACATGTATTCATATTTTATATTCATGGAAACGTTCCACTTGAAGTGAAGTATTGTTGTCGGGTCCGCCTATGTGACTGGCTGTGTTTCTGTAGTGCAGTACCTGCGTGTTCTGGCAGAGAGCGCCAACCGCCTGAAGTCTGCCATCTCTGATATGATTGTCTCTTTATATTGTTTCCTATCCTCCCTTGTCTTGGTAAATAACCACAGTTTGAATTTCCACGCACAGAATTGTATACACGAAGTCGAAAAGCAAACTCTGTGAGAAAGGCGCACTGTATGGTTATTTGCTATACAATGATCAGTCACCTGAGTCTGAGCTAACCTATCTGTACAAGATGTCAAGAATATAGAGAAGCGTACAAAAGGGCACACACGTGCAGAATTCGAAATGGACAGGGACGGGGTAGGCCAATATATCTATACCCATATACCCATACCGTTTATGGTAAGCCCACCATTTTTGTCTTCTTTTCTATAAAGATTTCTCTGCAGATTATGAACTCTTAGCATTTCAAATAGCCTAGCTCCATAACGGGATTCGTGGCTGAACTTTTTGTTGACTTATCCTATGTATTTCTGATTGTAGATCAAGTATCTCATTACTACTGGGTCTAGATCTCTGCTCAGTAGTGATCAGAAAATTAATTTGCAGTAAGAAAACAGCACATGATACGCCATCAAAAAAGCCACGAAGCCTAGCCTGCTACCCAGGAGGCTTCACACAAGTAGCGGCTGGTAGACTGATCAATTAGGCGTGTAATCCGCATGTCACGCGTCATTGTGCGGGGCGGATCAGCGTGTCCCCTGTCAGGGTTGTCGTGCACAGAACCTGTCAATCAAAATATCAACATTGACAAATCAACGTCACAAGTTATTCTGACCAAGGACAGATGATAGTCTGTCCTTGTTTTGGCTAACGTCACTGATCGGTACTTACACGTCCATATGCGTATAAGAAATGGTAACGCTACAAAGTATTTTAAGTTTTGTCAAAAGATGACGTTTATGCTTAGTGGACTTCCGCATACATACTCTCCAAGCAGAGGTTTGGGTTATTATTGGCGTGTTTTAGGCTTCTTTTTAATCGGGGTTTAATCGGGCATTCTTTTTTGCACGGAATTTTGTAACTGGGTTGGGTGAAAAAAAATCCAGTGCAAAAAAAAAACAAGTAAAAAAGCCTAAAAACACGCCCAAAATAACCCAAACCCCTCCTTGTGCCTTGCACGGGAGGAACTAAGTCTAAGTCTAAGTCTCCTTGGAGGGTACCTCCATGTTCTTGCTGGCAGATGCCACATGATGACGTCATAATCAGACGATCTTTGTCGTTCTGAGTCAAGTGCGCCAGGAAGAGAAACTCCGGGGGTCACGTCATAATTAATAGTATCCTGGCTAATTGTTAATTTGCCCACCTGGGTTCACAGACCGCCCGTTGATAATTTAACCATAGCGTCTTTGTGCTACAGCGTAACTTGTGCCTTGTTGTAGCGGGGTGGGTGATCCTCTGGGCCCGAGGTGAGGTGGGGTCGGCGCCGGTGAAACCGCTCCAGGGCCCTTAGATCATTAGGTGTGTTCTTCGGCAGCGCCAAGAAACCCCCCTGAACACCCAATTCATCATTGTTATGATTGTTTAGAGACACGCTTTGAGGAGAATCCTTTGAAATATACAGTTGACTTGTTTTCGAAACTGTGCCAAACCCTGTCAACTACATGTATTACACAGTCCAACTCTGAGCATGTTGGACACTTCCGTTGCTGACACACAGAACGCCCGAAGGTACCAGTCATAGCACTGGAATGAACATGGTGTTTATTTACTTACAACTTCAAGCAGTGCCAAACTATCATCGTTCGGCTAGCTTAGTCACAATTTAGCACTTGCAGAGCATACCTTTTTAAAAATATAACGTTGTAACGTACGTAGTATGTACCGTTAAGAGCAACTACTACTTTTCCTGTTCATACAATCTTTGACTTACAGTGAATTGTTCAACAGTGTGATGTTTTTGGTCTTGGTAGATGTTGTCATCGGGCGAACATCTGCCAGAACAGAGAACCAACATCCGATATCCATGAAAAAGTAAACATCATCCGCCAGCATGTTTCGGGCGTGTGCCAACCGACCCTTCCTCACACAGGTGCACCGGCATGATTGACACTTCCTGTGTACGACAAACCTGCACCCCTCACGCCCTCTTCCCGCGTCTTTTCAACTCATGTTATCGTGTTATGATGTCTACCGGATGTTTAACATTTAGAGTATAGCAGAAGAAAAAACAAGATTAAGAAAACATGCACACATGCACATGAGATAATAGTAAGAAAGTAAAGATACTCGTAACATGTCGATTTTTCATTTATTGCGACTGAAATGCCATTTGGCAACTTTTCATTTGAGTAAATACTAGTAATAACCCCACCCCAAAGGGCAGTAGTCATGTCCCATTGCTGGGATCAATCACTATATAGACGAGTACAGCATGAGCGATCTCCCCCTCTTGCAGCATAAACGGATCTCCCCCAAGAACAGTCCACACACACACAGAGCCAACCGTAGAACAATCAGCTGCCCGACCCCAGCTGAGCGGGTGTTTTGGTGACCAGAGATCCGGGGCGCACCCCCTTTTTCAGAAACACCCGGCCCAGGAAGTCCCCGGAGCGCGTCGCCAGGCCGGCGCCGACCATGACCGCCTGATACCGCAGGATTCCGTGGGCGACAGCGCACACTGTCATCTCTGAATCACGGGGATCCCCGAGGACATCGTTCCAACTGGAATAGCACCAGCAAAGTTGAACAAGTACCAAACGGACTGAGGTTGCAGTTTCACACAGGAGTAGAAACTTTGGGTTGGCCCCTTTTTTGGACTGAGGATTGCTACATTTTTTTTAGCCTTGGAGCAGATTTCTTCCAACGCAGTCTACTTCCTCAGTTACATAAAAAACTGCAGGTGACAGGATCCGGGAAAATACAGTCATCGTCTTAACGACTTCCTAAGCTACTGTACGCTTCAGAGAGGTGGTGTTCTTTCGCCAAGTTTGCAGCGCCTTGTTCTAGCTCTCAAAAATCATGTCTACCATCGTGTGCCTTCTCCTGGTGGCGTTTTCCCTGCTCCAGTGCCTGGTGTGGGACGTCGCGGCGACTTGTTTCAGCTACCCGCAGAACCTGTGCTGTAAGGGGAAGAACAACGAGTGTAAGACCAGCGGCCGGCGGCTGGACGGGACCGTGGGCGCGTGCTTCTGCGACGAGAACTGTTACGTGATGCGGGACTGCTGCGCAGACTACGAGAACGCCTGCCAAGGTGAGGAAAAAAAAAAACTACTCAAAACTTAAACTGGACCGTACGATTTTAGCACAAATTCGCGATGTTATAGGTCGCATAGCATTCAATGTTTCTTATACACACGCAACATATTTTAACTAGACAATCTGTCACAAGTTTTTCACATCTGGGTGCAAGTACATACATCGTTTGGGTTTTTGGCTCAGCGTCCTTGGTAAAATTGAACTAGGCTAAAGTTTGACATGTAGCTACGACCTAAAACTACGCCCCCACCAGAAGTTCTCTTGGTGTGTATATGTTCGCGTGCCGGTGGTGAGACTATACTAATCTTTTCTCGCTATGTCCTGGCAAAACAAAGCGATGGATAAGAGGTTCGTTTTAAGTGTTATTTTGGACAGACAGCTGCGTGTCACACGAGGACGGCTGTCTTTCTTTCCGCGGGGAAAACGTCAACACGTCCGACCTACTGAGCGTGTTGTCCCCCGGATCGTCTTCCCTCGTCCGTTGTCGCTTGTCTCTCCTGTCAGTCAACCCAATTTCTTCATCCCCTGCTTCTCTACAAATGTCGCGAGGCGTTTTCCTGAGCGAACGGTTAAGTGTTCTTACCAAATTGGGCGCTTTCTGAGCTACATCAATACAATATTTTCTTGGCGTGGGAATCGGCTCCTGCAAAAACAAGTTATTAACCACAACACAACGTTAATTGTTGCTGCAAGGTTCAGACAAACAGTTCAACAAAGTCTCGGTATTTGTACGGGGCTGGCCATTGAAACCAGAGCTCGGGTACAAAGAGACCAGTCCTTTTCAACGTTTCGGCGCTCTCTGGCAACCGTGTTTGCGCAGAAGAGTTGGGGAGAAAAGAAGTTCAAGGGGGAGGGCTGATGATCTCTGAAAAGCTCGACGCGCTCGTGTTTATTTAGTCTGAGCTTCAGAGCACTTGAATAGGGCAATGTCAGGCCTAAGAAAGGCATAAACTATGCTGACAACTAAGTGGTCCCTGGATTCCATTTTGTACTTGACTTCTCGGCGTTCTTGTCAAGTGGGGGTCAAAGACTGCCCCAGGACAAGTCACAGTCACATGGACCTCTGCGTGATATCGACGTGACAACCCGTTAATGGTTATGGGAACTGCTGTCTTTCTGTCTTCTTCTGTCTTTATACTTGTTTTCTCTTCTTTATCTCTTGCTTTCATTGTTTCTTTTGTTGGTGGCTTCCTTTCTTCTTGTTCTTTTCTTTTTCTTTCTTCTATGGTTTCTCCTTTTCGTTTCATCTCCATTCCCACATCTCTCTATCTCTTTCTCGTCCTTTTTTTCCTTCATTACTTTTACAGTCACTGTGCAGCGTGGACGGCACAATCATCCCTATGACGTCATCTTCCAATGATACCCCCAAACCTTCTAGAACCCACAGGCACATATTTGGCTACAACGACCAGCTTCTCGTATATCAGTCTCCTAGTCCGCCAAGATTTCGCCGTCCCTTGGCTGTCTGTCATACTGTGGGATTGTGACTAGTGTAACTTTGCTTAGGATCTACCTAGTCGAATGCGTCACCATCTGGCCATTAGGGTGGGAAGTGGTGTGTCATACACAGAGGGAGAGAGAGGGAGGGAGGGAGAGAGAGGGAGGGAGGGAGGGAGAGAGAGAGAGACTGTACCGTCATGTATGATCGCAAACAGCAGAAACACGTACACAGAATTCTCCTGAGCGGATGCGTGGTCTTCGGGTTCCATAGCATGTATCTATAGCAACATTTTCACTGAATCACACACATCCCTCTCACCCAGTCACCCTAATTTCATTAAAGCTCCGCGAATGTTTAATAACTTCCGTCCTGTGATCTTCAGTAGCTGTGCCCTAAGGTCCAGCCACCCACACACCGGTCCGCGACGCTTTCATGTGAAACGTCAAGTCAGTTTGATAAGTGGTGTGCAACGTGTAACCCAAAGTCCTCCGGAGGATATGGCTTGCCAATGTGCTTGCAATGCACTTCATAAATCTGACAAGAAAACCTGGTCCGACTTGGACCTGCTCCAGACTACAGAACAACAAAACCCATATTGTCCTGTCCGAGAATTGTTCAGTGGAATAAAGTTCACTGTACGGCATGCAAGTGGTGTTCGTCCGTCAGTATGACTAGGTAAAAGAATAGCCTCCATCGCAGGCTTCTTGGCTGTTTTTGTGGCTTCTAATGTCCTGTTTTCTTACGCTAGCTGTAACTTACGTTTTCTAGCTGAATTTCGGTACAAAAATAATAACGGAGAGACAAATCCCAAAAAAAAACTTCCACCAGAGGCCTGTTATGGAGGCTATTAGATTAACATGTGCATTAACATGTACATAAACGTCACAGCAAAGAAAGATACGGTAGAATGAAAATCTTCAAGATACTAGTATTTAGAACTTTACCACGAAATTCGATCACCGTACCAGTGAAGTTCAGTTTCACCCACTCAGCCTACAGGCTGCTGGCGCGGCGCCGAAGAACGTCCAGTATTCGACTGAAATGTGGCACGAGTGCGTCAGTGCCAATAGGTCCTGTCAATAGAGCACAGGCGAACTCAGAAACACTAGATATAAGCACGCGGTCGTGGCATTTGCGGACTTCTAGTTACCTTCGCCAAGAAGGTTATGTTTTCAGGGGCGTTCGTGTATGTGTGTGTGTGTGTGTCTGTCAACACGATAACTTGAGAAGGTCTTGATGGATTGTCTTGATACTTGATAGGTGGGTAGGTCTTTACGAAGGCCCACAACGACACTTCCACAGCGCGCTTCCAAGGTACCTTCCATAGCGCGATACTGCGAATATTCCACAGCGCGATTCTGCGAATCTTCCACAGCGTGATTCTGCGAGCCTTCCACAGCGCGATTCTGCGAATCTTCCACAGCGCGATTCTGCGAATCTTCCACAGCGCGATTCTGCGAATCTTCCACAGCGCGATTCTGCGAATCTTCCACAGCGCGATTCTGCGAACCTTCCACAGCGCGATTCTGCGAACCTTCCACAGCGCGATTCTGCGAATCTTCCACAGCGCGCTGCCAAGGGACCTTCCATAGCGCGATTCTGCGAACCTTCCACAGCGTATTACACGAGGCCCTAAAACCCCTCCCCTATTTTAGCGGACGGTCCCTTATAGCCAGCTCAGATACTGTACAAACGTAATCATATTTCAACCCCTATTAAAAGGGAAATGATTTATTATATTAAGTACGAATTTTGTTGTGTTCTTATTTTCTTTTCCTAGCGCACTGGACCTAAGGTTTCTTTGTAGGCTATTCTCTAACTTTTTTTTTACTTTGTGTGACTCAAGAAGTATAATTACTAGTAATAAAGATCATAGGTCTAACATGACATTGTTTTTTTAACATCTCTACATCTATTCAGCATGAAGAGTATTCTGCCCTTATGGGTTACCTGTCAGAATGTATCCAGATGTCTGTATCATAGAAAACTTACAAAAATGAAACACTTCACTCTTTCTTTTACAAAATTTTATTGATCCTTACAAACAACATTTTGCATGATATGAAGGTGTATTTCTTTAATTAACACTACTAGTAGGTTTAATTGATTTTTTTCTTGCTTGAAGTTAGAAAGAAAGATTGTAAATGGGACCTTCTCTTGCATAAACGAGTATTGTCTTTACTAATGTCACTGTTAGGACTTCAATATCTCTTTTCGTACACTGCTTTGTTTTTTTCCACTATCAAGGTCCCTTGGCAGCGTGCTGTGGAAGGTCCGCAGAATCGCGCTATGGAAGGTCCCTTGGCAGCGCGCTGTGGAAGATTCGCAGAATCGCGCTGTGGAAGGTCCGCAGAATCGCGCTGTAGAAGGTCCCTTGGCAGCGCGCTGTGGAAGGTTCGCAGAATCGCGCTGTGGAATACCGTGGCCGACAAGTACAAAATTTTACACCGCAACTTTTCGTGTTTTACACCGCAGCTTTTGGTGTTTTACACTGCAACTTTGGGTGTTTTACACTGCAACTTTTTCTGTGTTTTACACTGCAACTTTTTCTGTGTTTTACACTGCAACT